GCCTCGAAGTCCCAAGAGAGCCTCCCAGGGCCGAAGCTCTGCTTTGAACCCTTGTGTGTTCTCGGAGGTGTGTCCAAACCCCACTGGCCACACCAGGTGCCAATATCAAAATCCGAGCACACTTTGGTTTGACCGCAGCATCCCAGAATTCCCACTTCTTCCTGGTCAAACCACCACACACCACCACAAGCAGAGCTTCAGTCATGGTAGGAGAAGTCAGCAGGAGATGGAGCCTCACAGTTCTGGTGAACTCTCCCCACAGCAACCATAGCCTGCTTTCCTCTGAATGCTGAGAGAGCAAGAGAGTTAGGAGCTGCACCCAGCTCCCTTTAAGCCAGTCAAAATCTGGCAATATCTCTGTCCCTCCAAGAGAAACTCCCCAGATAAGAGCTGCACCCTTCCCATGGCAATTTCTTTTGTCTCTGTTAAGTATCTATTGTTATGGTTTCTTGGCAAGGGAGAAGATTCCATGAGAGATAGAAACAAAAGGAAAAATCCTACATCCCGACATGAGAACAAGGATTGTGTGTCAGAGTGAAGAATGATGAGAAAAGTACATTATGACCTGACCACATATTTGGGATACTCTCAAAAATAAAAGATTAATCAGAAGATCTGGAATCATATCCAAACAAGTCCATGGACATAATTAAAATATGCACATTATTCAAAAAAAGGATGAATGTATATTAATTTTTGGAATACAACCTGGTCTGTTAGGTTAGTGGGCATTCTTAGAGGAGACATCCCCATGCATCCAGCTCTCTAATAAAGTAATGTCAGCTTTCTGACACAGGATTGGACTGACCCTAATGGTGCCACTGTGCCTCTCTTATGTGTCTCTGCAGCCTGGCAGTGCCTTGGGATGCTTGAGTTAATGAGGTAATGAAATAAATCTACTCTTTGCATTTCAGCTGTGGTTTGGTGACTTGGATGTATCAATTCAGACACCAACCCACTGCTGGTACCCTTTGGAGCCTCGCTGTTCCTGATGGCCATTGACTGTGCAGTACCCAAGTATGTTTTCCTCAGCTCCAAGATAAAAGGGCACAAAGTAAAATCAACTGCAGGAACTCCCACCCTCTGCTTCTCCACTTTTTGTCCTGAGCAAACTGGAGGAGTTGCCATGGAAAGAAAGACAACTTGGAGGAAAAGGCTTGGATGCAAAACAACTTTATTGAGTTGAAAGAAGAAAAGGGGGTGGCTCACAGAGAGCACCAGGAGCAGCCACTAAGGAGCAGTGGAGCTTCTGCAGAGCGTGCATCTGCCCAACCTGCAGGGCAACATGTCCCCACTAGACTGGTCTGGGGAGACACAGACAGCAAACAGAGGAGAAAGAAAAGTAGAAGGGAATGATGGCTTGAAGATGTAAATACAATGTCCCAAAGCTCTATCTTCAGCCCAGAACTAGATTCTGAGGTCTTGGAGGTTTGTGCCCAAGGATGTTGCCAGCAGGTTTAGCAGGGACGGCATCTGTTGCCACCATAGCAGTTGGTGATGCAGGAGATGTCAAAGCCCCCAGAGCTGATGGGCACTCCGCCACAGCTGAGGATGTTGCCAACAGCAGCAGAGGTGGAGGATCCCACGGCGGTGTTCTGNCTGCTGCCACCATAGCAGTTGGTGATGCAGGAGATGTCAAAGCCCCCAGAGCTGATGGGCACTCCGCCACAGCTGAGGATGTTGCCAACAGCAGCAGAGGTGGAGGATCCCACGGCGGTGTTCTGTGGGGAGGAGCTGAGGATGGGCCCAGGCAGGGTCACCAGCACAGCAGGTGGCTGGATGGCCACATGGGAGTCCTGGCACTGCCTGACACAGCACTCAGTGCAGCTGCTGCCCAGGGGGCAGGGGCCGCAGGGCTGGCAGCAAGGGTCGCAGGGCTTGCAGCAGGACATGGCTCGGGGTGACAGGTGCACCTAGAATGGAAGACAGGGAGAGCGACAAAGTGAGGACAGCAGCACTGCACCCAAACAGCCTGGAAGCATGATAACTCCTGGCCCCCATTGCAGTGCCCAGCTCAAAGCCCAGGAGCCACCTGAGCCAAGTTTCAGCCTCTCTCTGTCTGCACAAGACCTTCTCTCCCCTGCCCTCTCCCAGCACAAGCAGCTCCCAGCCTTGGGCTCTTGTAGCCTCTCTCAGCTGAGACCTCCAGCCAGGCAAGAGCTGCTCGTGAGGCAGCAACAGGAGGAGGAGGAGAAGTGGCTTTGCACTCACCTGATTCCTGAAGAGGAGGAGGAGGTGAGAGAAGTGGATGCGAGAGCAGAGACTTGGGCTGCCTTTTATAGCAGTCCTGCCCTGCCTCAGGCCCAGAGGCTCCTTTGTGGAAGTCATAATTTTCTGACCAGGTCATGTCAAATATGCACCATCCCATCTAATGGTGGCGGATGTGTCCTGGTTTCCTATAATGCCTCATTTTCATTTCCTGGCACATGCCACATGCTTTCCTATATGAATTCTTCTGTAAGTGCTGAGATGAGAGGCCCAAAAATTTCTGGGATCATAAAAACAGGCAGAGTGCCCAAGTGCTGGGCTGTTGGCATCCCATGCAGGCACGTGTAATGTAAAGCTGTGTAATTTCTATGGGTTTGTTCATACAAAAATATGGCAAAGCCATAGTGGCAAAGTAGAGTTCTTCTGTATTGGCATCCATACCTACCTTGAAGGACTGCAGCCTGTAGGAAGAGCTCATCCTGGAACCGAGAAAAATGTGAGGAGGCAGAAAAGAACAGTTGTGCTCTGACCAAAACTATTCCGTTCCACAGCCCACAGTGCCGTGGAGGGCTGGAGGAAACAAAAGATTCATTAATGAAGGATGGAAGTTGAATCTTTAAGAAAGTGGTGTGGATGAACTGAATAATGGAATCAAAGAACCACAGAATGTTAAGGCCGAGAAGGGACCTTAAAGATCATCGTCCAAACCCCCCCTGCCATGGTCAAGGACACTGTGAACTTAATTCAAGGGCTGTTTTGGGGGAGAAGGGATTGCATTTTTTTCTTTTCTTCTGTTTCTCAATATCCTGTTTTATTTTTTCATAGTCAGTGTCTTAAACAAATGTTCCCCAACGCAACTCTATTTTTCCCTTTTCCCAACCATCTATCCCTCACTGATCGTCTCTTGTGGCCAGTCCACTCTGTGTTTCCCAGACAGGCTTTTCAGAAGTCTCCACTGTCTTTGTGATCCCAGATTTCTGAGGTTTGAGCACTAAAGGGTGTTCCCTATGAGCTCCACGCTTCAGGAGAGGTGGGAGAGAGGGATAGACGCAAAGTAGAATTCTCCTGTGTTGGCATCCAGGCAGGAGGACATTGCACACTTTGGTGCAAGGTGGAGCTCTGCAGGAAGGGGCCTCAGTTCTCCCCTGGCATCCTAATTTTCCCATGCAGCCAGAGATGGGAAAAAGATCCTCTTGCTGTGAGGGGCTGGGATTATTGCCTCAGAGAAAAGGAAATGGTGGAGGAAAGAGCTTCTGCTATAGAACTGTCCCAGGATGGGATTGCAATTGCAGTGAGAGAGCAAGGGTTGTTCTGACTGGTGCTCTCTTTCGAGGACCATTGCAGGAACTGGTGGTGGCTCGTCCGTGCCATCTTGCCAGCCCACATGAATAACCTTTCCTGTCCCAGAGGTGCTCTGTGTGATAAGAGTTGGGAATGTGCTGCCTGCAAGATGCCTCAGTCCTGGTTCTCTTCTATTTCCTTCATGTTTAAGTATCACAGCAAGATAGGAAATGAGGGGTTGCAGTCAGAACACAAGTTATTTTTTGCCAAAGATTGACTTCAACAGAACTGATCATGGAAAAGCAGCAGGATTTTGGCAGTTAGCCTAAAAAAAGTCACACTTTCCTACTCTTCCATGCACAGTTGCTAGACATGCAATTTTGGGGGGGGGTTGGTGTGTGGAGGTCCTGGTCCTTAAGCATGAAAGGAGTTTGACTCAAAGATGTTTGAATTCCCCAGTACCACACAAGAGAGTCTGTCCTACATCTCACAGCAGAGCACAACCCAGGTCCCAGTCCATTCAGTTCAATGCTCATTTGCTGTGAGATGCAACCACCTCCTCACTCAGCACCAGGGAGATGAGCTGTACAAGAGCATCCAGCATAGGTCTGGAGAGGAGGAACCTGTGTCCCATCCCAGTCACCAGAAACACTCCACCATAAGAAGATCCATTCAGGGACTTCTTCAGTTCAGTGGTCTGCCTGGAACAACTCAAAATTATGTGCACTCCTATGAGGACAGGAAGAAGTCAGCATCTGGGGTCTCTGCTAACACAACATGTCCCCGCACATGGAAGTCCTTGGGCAAGAAGCACAAAAGTGGTGCCCATTTCCTGGCAATTTTGACACAAACAAACCCACAAGAATGACACAGGTTCACATGAGCTGAATGCATGGAATGCCAGCAGCCCTTGATCTGAGCATTTGGCAGGTGTGGATGTGTTTACCTCCCGGAAATCCTTGGGCTTGTCCTCCCAGCACTTGGAAAAGCCCTCAAGGGGGAAAGAATATGGCATGTGCCAGGAAATGAAAAGGATGCAGTGCAGGAAACCAGGACACAGCCCCTACCATTAACTGGGATGGTGCATATTTGACATGACCTGGTCAGAAAATTATGACTTCCACAAAGGAGCCTCTGGGCCTGAGGCAAAGCAGGACTGCTATAAAAGGCAGTCCAAGTCTCTGCTCTCGCATCCACTTCTCTCACCTCCTCCTCTTCAGGAATCAGGTGAGTGGGAAACCTCTTCTCCTTCTTCTGCTGCTTCAAGAGCAGCTCTTGCCTGGTTGGAGGTCTCAGCTGAGAGGGGCTACAAGAGCCCAGGGCTGGGAGCTGCTTGTGCTGGGAGAGGGCAGGGGAGAGAAGGTCTTGTGCAGACAGAGAGAGGTTGAGACTTGGCTCAGGTGGCTGCTGGGCTTTGAGCTGGGCACTGCAGTGTGGGCCAGGAGTTCTCATGCTTCCAGGGTGTTTGGGTGCAGTGCTGTTTCTCACGTGTCCTCACTTTGTCCCTCTCCCTGTCTTCCATTCTAGGTGCACCTTTGAGCCTGAGCCATGTCTTGCTGCAAGCCCTGTGATCCTTGCTGCCAGCCCTGTGGGCCCTGCCCGCTGGCCAGCAGCTGCAATGAGTGCTGTGTCAGGCAGTGCCAGAGCTCCCACGTTGTCATTGAACCCTCCCCTGTGCTGGTGACCCTGCCTGGGCCCATCCTCAGCTCCTTCCCCCAGAACACCGCCGTGGGATCCTCCACCTCTGCTGCTGTTGGCAACATCCTCAGCTGTGGCGGAGTGCCCATCAGCTCTGGGGGCTTTGACATCTCCTGCATCACCAACTGCTATGGTGGCAGCAGGTGCCGTCCCTGCTAAATCTGCTGGCAACATCCTCGGCACCTCCAAAGACCTCTGAACCTCATTCTGGGCACAGACGGGGCTTTGGGAGATTGTATTTAGCGCTGCAGGCTTTTCTTTCCTTCTTCTACTCTCCCCTCTCTTTTATTCACTGTCTGTGTCTCCCCAGGCCAGACAAGTGTGGACATGTTGCCCTCCCTCCCTCTGCAGGGCAGGCAGGTGCACACCCTGCATGAGCTCCACTGCATCTTAGTGGCTGCTCCTCTTGGCCTCTGTGAGCCACCTCCTTTTCCCCTTTACGCTCAATAAAGTTGTTTTGCATCCAAGCCTTGGCCTCCATATCTTCATTTTTTTCTTATGGAAAATATTATAGTCTGCACAGGGTAAACGTGGATGGGGAGCGCGTGGGACTCCCTGTAGTGGCTTTTCCTTCCTTCCTTTCCCATTGGACTTGATGAAGAACATCCCTGGCTACTCCACAGCCAATGACAAACACAGAAAACATGGCTTCAAAGGGTGAGAGGAATGGGGAAGGGAAACAGCAATGTCTGGGACCAGCCCACAGCCTCATCTCTTCCTTCTCCTCCCCTGCATTACCCAGTCCAGGGCCCATGAGCAGCACATGTGGTCAAAGGCAGATGAGACAGGTACCTCATAGAGTCCTTCAGCACCTGGCAGGACCCAGCTGCTGTCCAGACATGTAGGGCTGAGGTGATGCAGAATTTGGGATCAGCATCTGCCAGTCAAGTTGAGCACACTTGGGGTGGCACCTTGCCTTCGTTAAGGAGAGGGAAATATCAGGATTCTAAAATTCTCAAGGTTAAAAGGAGTGAAGGAATTGGCTTAGAGACTGGGTTCAGATGTGGTACATTCCTGCCTTTCCAGGAATGTAAGCCTCTGGGGAAAGGGAAGCTGCAGGTTGCCTGGGAACACTGATGGCAAACAGCTGAACTTGGCAGGAGTCAGAGCAGGGAGTTGCAGCTTCTGCAGATGAAAGGCTGCATCTGCCAAAGGCCAAACCACTGTGCCAGGAAGCTTGCTTTTAATGAAAACCCTTCAAGAGGAGAGACAGTGGGTGGTTTCCCTGTGCGGTGATGCCAGCTAAGGCTGGAGTTCCCCGCTACTCCCTGAGGCCATGAGGCCCTGAAATCAAGGCCAAATTTTTAAATGTCTGATAAGAACAGCAGAACAGAACAGCATTTTGCTCTTACCAAATTAATGGAACAACGTAGCCTTGGAGAATTAGGTATTTTATAAATAACTGGAGAGTTGTTGGCTTTTGCTGTTATGTATTAGCTTTTGCAGATTATTATTAATCACAACAATTTTGATGTAGAAAAAATTGTTATCACTTTTAACTGGTTTTGGATATAGCATAATTTGTAAGCTTTTGTGGCCAATGTTCTGGCCATGTGTAATTTATATTATATTAGTGTGATAAATATATTATAGTTTTAGTTTTCACAAAATATTAAAATAGAGACTATGTAATATTAACTCTTGCAGAACGTTTTTATCTTTGTAACTAGCTGACAATAGTGAGAAAATTCAGATAAGTTTATGGAAATAGCTAAAACTGTCTGTATGATTAGATAACATAGAAGGAACCATGTAGATAACACTAAAAAGAAGGGATGCGAAAAAGACTCCTGCCATTGACTGTATGGTGATCAATAATTCTCTGTTTGTTGTTGTGAGGAAATGGCATACACATTGTGAGAAAATGGCATATACATTGTGAGGAAATTACATACATGACTCCCAAAAATCAAATCTACACTATTGCATGACAGATCAAGGGTCGAACAAAGCTAAAGAGTTCCCAGAACATGTAAAAGAACACAAAAGAATGTTTGAATATGTATAACCCTCATGATTATGTATGTAACGAATTTAGTGAAAAAGTATATATGAAAATTTTTTTAAGCTAACAATGTGCTTCTGGCAGCTTGCCAGGCACCCCAGTGCTGGATATTGTCCCTTTTATCCGTAATTTTCAA